GCAGTGTTTAGTTGACCAGGATTGAATGAAACACATACTGATACAGCAACCTGGTTTGTGAGTTTCACGAGGTTGGTGGTAGGTAACACAAGAACAGCAGTAACACCAGGCATGCTCACAAAATTATGGGATGAGCTTGACCACTGTATAGACGTAGGCTGTGTGTCCAGAGGGCAACACCTTGAGCACTTGTGAACATTGGAAGTTTTGTATGTAACTTTATATTCAGCCATGTATTTTAAATTTAGCATTTTATGAAAGTTGGACCTTATTTGACATTGAAGACGAGGTCTGAAGTCCAAATTAATGTGATATTTACAATACCCAGATATGATTCCCTATGTGTCTATATGTTGCCAATACAAACAATGGCAGTAAGAAACACAGTTTTAAATAGCTCTATGCAGCGTTATTGTCACTTTGACATTCAGATCAATCTATTGACCTTGAAGGAGAGGTCAAATGTAACATGATATTTAAAATCTTTATACCTATGTCGACAATACACACCACAGTCGTAAGAATAGTTATAGGCTTTTTGTCAATTTTCGACCAATAAATCTTCGAGTTGCCGTTTAAGACTGTGGTGGGTGTAGGCCAAATTTGAATGGATTATTAACATGAACCCCCCTCCACACACTACAATATTTTATCAGGATTTATTTAAAGCTTTTAAACCTATCACATTTACAGACAGAAAGAATAACCTCGTTGGTGGAGGTAACAAAACATTACCCAAGCCAGACGAGTAACACTAATCCCAAACAGGGTGCCTGGGACCTAGTGTGCGTTATGATGACGAACAATTTCAAATGAAGCTTTTCAAACAAGACTTCCCAAAGCTGTGAACAGCTTTCAAAATATGTGGACTCTCCTGAAAAGGTGAGTCTGTGTTGCTACATTTACACATCCACTATAACCTGAAACACTCACCTCTCTGCATGTGATTTAAAATCTAAAGATGAGCTGTGTAATACACCCAAACACACCACACCAATATTAAGTATTCTAAACAGACTCTATTAACACTGTTGGTTTAAAAACTCTGTTATATTTGACCTTGGAAGTTTCATATATAGTTTTCCTCCAGTGACAGGTTTATGCTTTACAGAGGTGCCCAGATGTTTTATAGCTAACGTCCACACTGTACCGTGGCTAGAGCGAATTTGTGCAGCAATAAGTACAGGGTGGCTGCTGGTCACAGAGTCTTGTGGGAAAGAGCCCATGAAATCACATTTTCACCAAAGTGGAAACTATTAAGGCCTGAAAAGTGTTGTGCTGTGCAATTCCTTTCAGTAGTGACTCAGACATTCTTGAAATATTAAAGACAACATTAGCTTTAAAGCGCTTGTAATCTTTCCTATCAAGTGGCTGATCAAAGCAGACGGGTTGGTTTTGGCGTACTCCTCCACAAAGGTTTGTCATAAACAGGGCAGGGAGACAGTTTGGCCTATCACTAAAGTGCTTCAGGCATAGGGTGCATAAAGGACAACTAATTGTCCTCTAACTTTGCTTAAAAAGTGGTCATTAAAACACACAATTAAATGCATAGTAAAAGACAGCAAGCCTAAAGCCTAGAAGACTTTCATTGACATTTTTAACCCTTTATTTTTCTGTTGAGCATATTAAAAAAGAGCCAGTGCAGAGACGCCAGCATTACAATGCAAGAGATAACTAAAATGCAAAAGAGGCTGTCCACTCAGAATCAGCCAATTTTCGAATGCATGTCTGTTTTCTCTTTCCTGCATTTCTATGCAAGGAAACTCTTCTTCCCTATTTCTTAATGAGCCCAGTTATGCCAGCAAGTGGCCACACATGCAGCCAAAACAAGTACAATGCATTCTGGAACATGGCTGCATGTACTGGAAATAATTAGTTCCATGGTTTAATTTCTGGTTAATGACAACATTCAGTGCTGTCATGAATACTGACAACAGGAGGACTGATCCTCATAAACCATAAAACAACGTCCCGCTGAGATCCTTCAAACTGAATATCATCAGGGATATCCCCAAAAATCCGGCAAGGTGTTGTCAGTAAACAGCACACATGCGCTCGTCAACCTGTTTGGCGGTTCTGATTCATTCCAACCAAGAGTGAGCAAACGACAGGACAGGAAAACAAACAAAATGATAAGCCCAGATTTCTCAGGACAGGGAGCTCGCTGACTTCAGATCAGCTGACTTCTGTTGAATCTTCTTCTTTGAAGTGATTCAACGTTAATGACATCACACTTTGATCTGAATGAATGTATATGAATGTAAATGATTGAAAATGTTAGTGTATAATTTATGCTTTAAAACAATTAACAAGTGAGATTAATTTAGTCGATGTGGATTTTCTTTTAACTTTAAGGCCCCACACTTTGAACATGAATCATGGATCTTTGTTCACAGTTTCCCTAATTTCAGAATTAGATTTCATCCCTCTTCATTGGATGAAAAGCAGCTCATAAACCACCAAGCTTTTAGCCATCCACTCTATTCTAGTTCCATTTTGTGATTAATAAGAATCACTGTGAAAACAGGCGATGTGAATGTCAGTTTCAGATGACAAAGTTAAAAACTGTTCTATTAATTTATTCCCACTGGGTCCGATCAGTGCATTCCTACTCAACCTCGCCTGTATTACTCAGAACAGTGAAATAAGAGACAGAGTGACATTACACAGAGACAGATGTTTTAAGGTCAGAGAGAAGAAGAGGGGCCTATTAGACATGCTTCTAGAACAATCCCCTTGCTTTTGCTATTCACAGTCACAGAAAGACGAAGATAGGGAAGTAGAAAAGGTGAAATGGCTTTGCCCTGCTCATTCACTGCACAACAGATAAACTCAGATCATCTGGCAGACTGGAGACATTACTAATCCGGCTCAGTTGGGATTCAGTGGGAAGTGCTATTGTTCTCAGAGTGCCATTAAACTCCCCATCAACTGGAGTGCTGCTCACAACCACTGACAGAGAGGAGGTATATTGTATACTGTTCAAGCCTTGGCTGTGGTCTGCATACACGGTCTTGCTTGAACTACCGGCTGAGATCAGCATGATTTATGGAGAGTTAAAGCGTGAGGTTTGAAAAAGTGAGTGAGGCAGCAAGGAGGGAAGGAGGAAGGAGATAAACATACAAATAGAAAAAAGGAAGACGAGGACAAACAGAATTGGACAATGTGTGCAAAAGTGAGCATGGAGGTGACTTTGGAAGTGGATGGAAAGGAAACAGTTTGCCTTTGCTTCAGTTCAACCATGCGATCACTTAAAGAAGAAAAGCACATACACGCATAGGTCACTGAGAGACGAAGTGCTTGATTCGACCGTGGTGTCTGAAATTAATCAGTGGGTGACACCAACAAAATCTCCTACCATAAGGCCTGGTCATCCTGTGTCCTTCGGACTGAGAACGCACTGATCTGACACCCATGACGTGACCTTAATGTTATGACTCAAAGCTAAACGTCATCAGAATTACTCACAAGCTGAGTGAGATGAACCAAGTAGGTCCTTAAGAAAAAAAAGTGCTCACTCCATCTACCGCAACATAAGCAAAATCCTGAAGTAATACTTACACGTACATTTCAATAGTATTCTCATTTGTACAAAAATTATACATGAAAAAATGACAAAAGGTGAATTTGTTTCACCCTAAAGAGGGTCAAACTGTAACTCTAACATGGTGCTCTAAGTCACAGGTGCTAATCCTCACAAAAACCCTACAGTCTATATAATGAGTAGATTTTGATGTGTATTGATTATAATAATTATTTTATTTTTATTTTTATTTTTTTGTTATCTATTTGTCAAGACTTTGAAATAATGTAATAAAACCAGAAATGACATATTCCAATCACAGGGTTACAGTTATGGTTAGGGAGTTTTGCTGACAATGACTTAGCTCTCAGAGGGCCTGGCCAATCTAAACCCAAATGCTTGGTATATACACCTAAGCCTAACCACCTTTGATCTGAGGTCAGCATTTTTTTAATAAACCCATTTGGGGTTTGATTTCTGTGCTTTTTCTTGTGTGCAACACACAGTTTAGGGGCCCCTGAGTAACTTGCTGCAACTGTTGACCCTTAAACCATTTTAAGTTGGTGAACTGAAATGTGGTGAGTCACAGAGAGATTTCCACTTTCCAAACCTCCATTAATAGGTCCCCAGTAAGCTAGTAGATGTTAAGAGGATAAATAAAGCTTTTCACATGTCACAGCTATACTGTGTGTGTATTGTATAATGCCAGTGTGTTAATGACCTGTGTTAGAGTCAGAATTAGAGGATATATCAGAGTACACCCTGGACAGGTCATCAATCTGTCAACGGGCGTCGGGACAATTAAAATAACACAAATGTCCTTAAATTAAAGTTTGGCTTACGTCAGACAGCAAACGTAAAAGCATAAAAACAAACATATATAATAATAATGATAAAAAAACTGAAAAAAACAACAACCCTGATTTGATTCTTTGGATTCACTGCTTCTGCTAATCATAAGTTTGCACACATGAATTAAAAAGCAAAGAACCTTATGCAAGGCAGTAGAAATACAAGTACACTAACCAATACAAACAAGAAGAGATTGGTTCATTCTGTCACAACTTACTTAAAAGAGACATAAAAAGTAAATATATATATATATATCATTAAGTATAATAATAATAATAATAATAATAATAATAATAATAATAATAATAATGAGAAGAAGAAGAAGAAAAACAAATTAAAGCAGCTAAATTAAAAGCTCTAAAACAGCCCAGAGAGAGTGGAGGAGCTGTTTTTACACCATGAAATATATCCTAATTTATGTGTATCCATTAATATATTATAAATACATAAAATTACAGTAATTGTTCTCATGTGAACGTTATCCCTTTAAACTAGTTTAGGGAAATGTGCAGTCATCTGCAAACTATCACTTCTACGGCTGCCAGAGTCTTCTCCTCTGTGCTCCGTCGGCTTCAGAGCGCTCAGACCTCCGCTTCACATCCCCTGCTCCCCCGGGCGCACTCACCTAACTTTTGCGGCCACGGAAGAAATCGCATCACTCCTCAGATTCTTCCTTTTGGACACCGCAGTTCCCATGCTGAAGTGGAAACAACCCAGGGGAGAAAACGCAGACCATTCCACAGATTGGTCGGCGAAGGATGCAGACAGGAGAGGAAAAAACCGCGAGGAAACGGCAAAATGAGAAGCATCAGTGCGCACGGCCCACGAGCTCAATCATCTCATGTTCATCTCGGTGTTTAGAAAGAGAAAGCTGAGTGTTCCAGAAGAGCCGCGGACTCTGCGTAAAGCGCAGGAGCGCAACTGGAAGATGCGGGGAATGTGGACCACCGCGCTCTGCTCTGCTCTCCTCATCCAACTAACGTGTCCACAAAGGAAGCCAGACCATAAAAGGAAGAGCAGCCCTCGTAGCTGCCGCACAGCGCTGACAGGTGCGGGGTGGGCAGCAGCGAGAGGAGGAGAACACGCTGCTTCATTACACGGGTGTATGTGAGATGAAAAGAGGTGTGGACACTCGAGCCCACAAGTAATCACGCCGCTTATTATCTGCAAACAACGCGTGTGGCATTCAGAGACTGTGGGGACAGACGGGCGCAAACAGTAATATCACATTTTAAACCTGCTGAGATACTTCTTGTATTTTACTTTGTTTCCAACAGTTCGCGATTTCATCGTGAGTGGGGCTTTTTAAAATTCTCTGTCTGGGGTGACATATCAGTGAGATGTGGCAAAGCTTTTACATAAAACAACTCAAATTTGGTAACATTTGGGTTGGTGTGACAGCATACTGCGCAGTTATAATGTTTTATATGTGTGCTGTACTTTGATCCCATTTCCCATGCACGTTTCTGCTATTAGTAATTATTGTTCACTCTGATAAATGCTACTGGTGAAAGTTGCTCCAGTACAAAGTGTCCATTCCTCCAAACAGCAGTTCTCTTAACAAGCAAAAGCATCTGAGAATGGAGACTGCATTAGTACATTATGTGGGATGTGGCCCAGTCTGAACTCTAGCACTTCCAAGTGTCTGTGGTTTAGTGGGTCACGTGTTAGTATTGATCCTCAAAAGAGGGTTAGCAATCTGTGACTCCCAAAACTCTGCTTTTATTTGGTGTTTGTTTAGAGGTCTGCAAACATCAAGTGAGCGTGAGTCACTCAACTAGAACATACAGAATGTACAAGAAACTTTGCTAATGCAAGGGTGGTAATGTCCTATTTTTCATTAGCAAAGCCTTTAACCTCCTAAGACCCGAGTTCTTCCACGGCATGCATTTTAAATTTCTCTTTGATATTTGGGCATATTGGGACCCAGTGAATGTAAAAACAAAGTTGTTGTTTTTTTACCTGATTTTTGTTTCTAAGAAAAATGAAGGCCACATATGAGGATATTCATTTGAAATTTTGATGGAACAGTAGCAGTATAATGTCCTCGTAAGTGGATATCAGACCCTATAGAGCACAATTGAGTATTTTGGTCTAAATAACCCAAAATTTGATTGTCACATATGTGGATGCCAGGTCCTAGGAGGTTAAGTCAAGTCACTTCAATTATCAGCTAGTTCAGTTGGAAAACAAATGTACTTGTTGTCACAGGATGAATGCTCTTGCAGCAGATAAAGATGACACAAATCTGTTACTCTTCTCACAAATAATAATGTTTAATTTTGCTCTGAGTCCTGTGACATGTTCAGGATGTATCCCATGTTTCAGGTGGGATAGACTTCAGCCCCTCAGTGACCCTGAATTGGAATAGCAATTGAGAAAATGTTCCAGCTGATGTAATGATAGTACAGTTATCTAGGTCCTTATGTATTTGGACAATGACACAATTTTTGCAATTTAGCTTTCATGCACTATTTTAAGTCAATGATTTAAGTGCAGATGTTCAATTTTAATTAAAGTGGCCTTACAGCCATTTTTCTGCACTTTCAGAGGTACAAAAACAATTGGACAAACTAACATAATTTAAAATATAAGCATTGTTTTTAATCCTTGGATGAAGATTGTTTGCTGGCAGTGGCTGCAAACCCATGCAACATCAGCATGTGCTACATTTCTTACTTTCGCATTATCTGTTAGGTCGTTATTGCAGCAGCATTTACTTGCTGCTTGTTTGTGGTGCTTACTGAAGGAAAAACTGAAGGCAGAAATTGAAAAGCACAATCTGTTGGGTGGAGATAATGCGACTGAATTGGCCATTGAAGGATATCCCATTTCTTTGCCTTCACAAACCCACTGGTTGCTTTTGTAGTGTACTTTGGCTCATTATTTCTTTAACTGTGAATTTCTGTCCACATAGTTTTGGAGCATTTGGCTGAATCTAAGCAGAGTATAGCCCTGTGCACTTCACAGTTCACCCTGACATATCTATTAACAGTCGCACACTTGTGACCGCATTCGACATACCAATGCAATAACATTACCTCCACCATGTTTGTTTCAGATCCATGTTTTTCTCTTCCCATCATTCTGTTTTTTGTTTGTTTGTTGTTGTTTTTCTGTTTGTTGATCTGAATTGATCTTTGGTGTAAAAAAAAAAATCAATAGTACAAAGAATAATAGTAACCAAAATTTAGGCCTAATGAAGAAAATGTTATGGGATCACCAAGTCATTGGAATTTAAATTATAATTGTTGATGAAACTTTCCTGCTAATTAATCAGAGATAGAGATGATCAGAGTGATTAGTCATTAGAGCCACAAATGTATCAGTTCAATTATTGTAATCTGATAAACAGTTGCCTTTTGCCCCTTGTTTTCTTTTTATCTGCTTTCTTGCTTGTTCCTTGTAAATGAACATATGCAAATACACAAAAGCAAAAATGAAATGTGCATTGCTATAAAATTCAATATGAAATGAGGTTTCTCTGCGACTCGAAAATACATAGAAAGTTCTCTCAATATATCTCTTCTGGCCTTTGCTGGCAGCACTGACTGCCCTACTTTTGAGGAGCAGGCCAGTCTACATGCAATTAAGAAATATGAATGTTTTAAATTAACATGGTTTGTGTTAAATCTGCACTCTGTGATAAGGGCTATCCACAACAGTGCTTTATTGTGGCATTTTGTATTATAAAATGACTCATCTAATTTTACTTTCTGGTCATTCACATGATGGCTAAGCTACTTTGGGACATTGCAATAGCTGAAGATTTATCCAACTGGATGGTGCCTCCAAGCAAATAATCAAAAGCTGCTGATGGTGATTAGATTAGGTTAACAGTAGACAACAGCAGAACAGAAAAACAGAAGAAAATCAATTTCCACTACCACTGAGGTATCTATTGACCTGGGAGTCTTGCAGAATATGTTTTGCTCACCGGGAAAACAAAATCAATTCAATGTCAGTATTCAACCATTGTGGAAGAAGCCAATTCATCTCCCTATTATGTTTATGAAAGCATGTAAGATATGTAACATAATGCTCATGACCTTTCAGATTTCTGTCCACTTGGAGTGTGGATACTCTGGGGCTCAAGTCTAACACTTGGGATTATCACCCTGAGTGCTTGGGCAGGGATTTGTAAGCCCCTGATTCTAATATAAGGGGAAAAAATCAGAATGTCACTGCTAATGAAATGTGTGGGTACAACAGACTAGTGTTTTGTTTTTTCCCTGCATTAACATTTCTTAATTCAACACACAGAGTAATAGCTGGGCAATTGGAACTTCAATATAGCACCGGCAACATTATTTTTTGATGCATCCAAAAAATAAACACAACATGATCTTTATGCTAAATGGCCTAGAGGTGCAGTAGTGAGTGTTATCTTAAAGCATGAAACCTGCATGGGTTTTCACTGAGGATTATTGTGTCACTGGTAATGATGACTTTTTTTTTTTTAAGTTAAAAGTAGTTTTAGTTAGAATGATTATTTTCTTTGTTTCCCCAGTGGTGCTTTGTCCAGGGCGTTCCCTTCCTTTTGCATCACTTGGGGTATGTTGAACCTATATTCTTTCCAATGGCCAACAGGGGGCAAATCCTCTGGTTTAATAGGACCCACTATTGTATAAAACAATCCATTCTTTAAGCGGTGACGTATGAACCCTGCTTCCGGGTCCAAACTACTATTTATTTATTAAAGCTGTTGTGTTTTTAACATGTTTTATTGTTTTGTATCTTGTTCTATTTAATCTGAACAAGCTCCTGAAAACAGTCACTGATCACTGTCGGCCTCTCTGTGTTTTTATTATCACTATTCGTTTTAAAGCTCAGTTTTTAAAACCTTACGCTATAACTACAGCCCAGCCCATGCAGCAGAATATTAATGACTAACCTTGTATTGTGGATGGATTATCTCAGTTTTTCCCCTGACTGAAGTTTGGTCCATTTACAGGATCCTGCCATGCGATTGCATTTGTCCTTAACCATCGTCAGTGTTGGGCAAGTTACTTTGAAAAAGTAATTAATTATAGTTACTAGTTACTTCTTCAAAAAAGTGACTGAGTTAGTTACTGAGTTACAAGATTCTAAAAGCAATTAATTACTTGAAAAGTAACTATTGCATTACTTAAATTTTTTTTTTTTAACCCTCTGGAGTCCAGGGTATAATTGGCCATTTTTACCTACTTTTGATTTGACCTCTACATTTCACCTTTAAAAACTATTTACTTTGCCTTGTTTGGTATCATTCTTTTCAGCACAACCTCACGTGTCTGAATTTACAGTTATGTTTTCATTTTGACATACTGTATTAACACAATTGATCTAAAATCAGACAAAAAACATAAAGTCAGAGTAGAAAAAGTTATATTTTTTATTGTAACAACCACAAACATGTTTATTGAATCATATTTCATACATTAAATGCAAATAAAAATGGTCAATTTTTAAATCATATGCACAACTTGCATTAAACACAACACAAGACTTCTGGAAAATTGTCTTTTGGACCACCTCGGTTATGCAGAAGTTTGTAAAATAGTGATGAAAAAGTCACTGTCATGAACATGAAGTCATGATTAAATGAAGTCGATTTAAATGAAGTCATTGTAGGCATCGTAACAGTTAAGTTTCCTCTTGCTAACCACCTTGGCCAATATGTGTGATACAGAAAACATGGATGAAAAAGTTGTTAATAACTCCTTTAGTACATAAGCAAGGAAAATGTTGATGTTAATGGAGAGGGGAAAACAGCTATACCCATGTCTGGCCTAAAAAAAAGGGAAGTTGACTAGGTACAGGCTCTCAACACTATCAGATTGCACACAATTAATTTTAATAGATATGTAGTCCTCACAGGACATATAAGGAATTTAGTAAATACTTTATATTCAAGTAAATTTATATTCAAGTAAATGAGCTCAGCCTTAAACATACAGTCAGGGAAATGATTTGAACTGAAGCTGACTTTATAAGTTCCCCCACTAACAAAGAAATGATCAGTCTAT